TTGTAGACAGGGTTTCACCACGTTGCCCAGGCTGATCTTGAACTCCTGGGCTCAAGTGATCCATCTGCCTCAGCCTCCCAAAGTGCTGGGGTTTCAGGCAGGAGCCACTGCACCCAGCCCCTGACCTCATCTTCTGAGCGGGGCTGTCATCGCTGTGCAGGCTTGTTGGGTGGACTTGTTGAGAGCACGTGTGTGCGGTGGTTGGCAGGTGCCTGGTTCTGTTAAGTACCTGCCATATGATAACCTGAGGTCCCACCATGTGGCAGGTGAGGGAGAAACAGAGTTGGAAGGCACCGATTCCACCCAGGTGGAATACAGTAGGAGGCCTGGCATTGGCTCTGGGCGTCCTCCTGGCACCAGCCTGACTTCTCTGCCTGTCTTACTAACCCATCTCCCCCCATGTGTCCTCTAGGAGGTGACTTCTCAAAGCGCTAACAGGCTACGCTCGGTGAGTCCATGGCCATCCCTCTTATGACTGCGGGACTCAGCGGCACTGAACACTCTCCTACCTGCCCCCAACTGGGGGTCCATGACCTGACATTAGCATCTTCCAAATAAAGTGACATTGGCAACAAGTCCCTGTGCAGCATCTCCATCCTGGAGCCCAGAGGGAAGAGGGAGGGTGGGCCCGAGCCCTGGCCTGGACCCACACAAGGACTTTGTCTCCTGGAGACCTCTGTGCATCTGCTATGGACTCACCACGGCATTCCCCGTGACTGGTGAACCTGGACAAGTTATTCCCGTACCTGAGCCTCGGTTCCATCGTTAGCAGGACAGGGTTGAATGGAGCTTGAAGACCTCCCGCATTAGACGTCTCTAGTGTCCCAGGTCATGTTCCTCCACCCAGTGTGATTTCAGCTGCAGCTGTGGCGGACAGTCCCGTACATGTGGGCTGATGTCTGCTTCTCCCTCTCCTGTTTACAACCTCCTTTTCCCCACCACTCTGCCCACCTCCCAACTGCTTTCCTTGTTTTATTCACCCCAAAGTGCTGTCCTACCCTGTGAAGCCACAGACAGCAGCTAGCTAGAAGGCACACTATTGAGATAAGTATTGGGGACGAAAACCAAAAGAGGCCCACTGAGCTGCAAGAGACGAGCTCTGCTTGTTCTGTGTCCCCATGGTTTTCATTCCTCTTCAGGAGACCAAGACTCCCCATTCATCCCTCAGCACCACCGCCTCTCATGCCATTCTCCTTGTAAGTCCCACGGTCTCCCCGGGTCCCCCACACCTCCTCTCCCTCCCAGATACCCACTGGGCCTCTGAGGCTCTGCATCTGTCTTCCATAGACTCTGCTCCATTGCCCCCATCTCCAGAGATTTCTTTGACCATCATGTCATGACTGACACCAGGTCGCCCATCCCTTGAAGCCTTCACTTCACTGGAAGCTGAGACTTCTCCCACATCCCATCTCTGGGCCAGGAAAAGAGATACTTGTCTTCTAAGATGTTCATGTTTAACGTTTCTGCTGGGCCAGTTCTCCCTGTTCTTCCTGCAAAGAGCCCTCTTCCCGGGTTGTCTGAGCCTCTCTGTAGGTGCACAACCCTCCTGACTCCCAAATGCCACCCTGCTTGCTCCCCATCATCCACAGAAGAAAACTCATGGCCCAGTGTTCCTTTCCACCCATTTTCTGTGTCCATGTGGATACTTCTCTCAAGATTCTGGCCTCACATTCTTTGCCTGCTCACCTACAATGACCTTCTTCACTCCGTCTTGGGAATCAACTCCCACGGCTATGCTATTTTCAAAATCTTGCAAATATTTACTTACCAATCGTGACTTCCCAACCCTCCAGCTGACTTGCTCTAGTACTCCTCTGCTATAATTTATGGCTGCTTTGGGGAGTTCCATTTCACTGATTGCATCACTTTCTCACTTTTTCATTAGTCTCCTCCTATCCTCCTTCGTGATGAAGCCTAGATTCATGGTCTATATAGTAATTCTTAACACAAACTGCACATTAGAAGCACATGAGGAGCTCTTAAAAAATATCAAAGCCAGCTGGGCATGGTGGCTCACACCAGTAATCCCAGCGCTCTGGGAGTCTGAGGCAGGTGGATACTTGAGCCCGGAAGTTTGAGGCCAACCTGGGTAGCACAGTGAGATCCATCTCTACAAAAAGTGAAAAACAGCTAGCCAGGTGTGGTGGCGCACTCCTGCAGTCTCAGCTACTCGGAAGGAGGAGGTGGGAGGATCCCTTAAGCCCAGGAGGTCAAGACTGCAGTGAGCCAAGATCACACTACTGAACTCCAGTCTGGGTGAGAGTGAAAGCCTGCTCTAAAAAAAATTAAAAATAAAATTTAAAAATCAGTGCCCATGCCTCATCCTAGGCCTATTAAATCGGGATGTTTGAAAGGTCCATGGGTGACTCCAACGTGCAGCTGGAATTGAGAATCAATTTCCTACCGTTACTACTCCAGTGCAAGTACTGTTCATTCCCTAGCTTTTCTGTGCCTCATTCATACCCACCTGGCAATACTCCAAGCCAGGATGAACCCAAGTATCTGCCCAAATTTCTGCTTCTAAACAGAATTTCCCAGCTAGGCTTTTTTAAACCTTCAATTTGTGATCATAAACTTCAATCTGGCCTTTAACTCAAGGTTTGTGGTAAGCTCTATTTCCCATTCTCCAGGAAGACTTGGTATATGACTTGGTATACTTTCTCTTCCCTCACTTCATTTTCGTGAGATGATCTTGTCTCAAAGAGACACCATCAGATGGAAATTCCCTCAGTAAATCTACAAACAAACCTACTTCTACTCCATCTCCTTCTTTCCTCCTGGCATAATCAAGTGTTCCTCTCCCGGCCAGACACGGTGGTTCATGCCTGTAATCCTAGCCCTTTGGGAGGCCAAGGCTGGTGAATCACTTGAGGCCAGGAGTTTGAGACCAGCCTGGCCAACATGGTGAAACCCCATCTCTACTAAAAATACAAAAATTAGCTGGGTGTGGTGGCGCACGCCTGTAGTCCCTGCTACTCGGGAGGCTGAGGCAGGAGAATTGTTTGAACCTGGAAGGTGGAGGTTGCGGTGAGCCAAGATCGAGCCTCAGCCTAGGTGACAGAGTGAGACTCTGTCTCAAAAAATAAAAAAGTGTTCCTATCCCTAGGCAGGGCCCTTGATACTCTGTTCCTAGACCCTCCTGCTTTCTCAAGGACTTGGGTCCGTGAACGGTCCCCTCTTGGATCGTCAGTTTCCTTCCTATCAACATAGAAACAAGATCTTGTGTTCATATCTTAGGTCTGCTGCTTTCACTCCCCATTTCCCGCTAGATACTGCTCCATTTTTCTGGGGGAAAATGGAAAACCTTTTATGGAAAACCGTGTCAAAAGAATGATTTACCCTAGCTGTTCTCCAGTTTTTTAATCCCCAAAAGAGAATGTGTTATAAAAACAGGGATAAGTCATGGGCAGAAATGTAGCTCTCTAACGTAGCGATACAGCTGAGGTGGCGGGCGGCAGGCCACTTGGAATCCACACAGTCCTCACTCTCTGCCTTCTCCTCCACATTTCTCGTGTCTCCTTCTTCTTCAGTAATGGAGTCTCCCCTACCTCCTCAAACAAAGTTTAGGTCTCTTCAACCTTAGCCAGGAGAGCAGAATCGAGTAAAGGAAAATGGTTTCTTGAAGCCTGTGTAACGTGGCGAAACCCCGTCTCTACTAAAAATACAAAAATCAGTTGGTCTTTGTCTTAATCTGTATGCACTACTATACCAAAATCTCTGGAACTAGGTAATTTATAAAGTATGGATACTTAATTTCTTATGGTTCTGGAGGCTGGAAAATCTAAGATCAAAGTGCCAGCAGTGTCTGTGTCTGGCGAGGGCCTGGTCTCTGCTTTCAGGAGGGTACCTGGTTGCTGTGTCCTCACGTGGCAGAAGGCAGAGAGAGGGACAGAAGGGCAAAGGGCATAGCTAGTTCCCCCAGCACCCATATGGTCACTGTTAACCTTTATGAGGGCACATCCCTTCCCTGGCCCCCTAAAAGTCTTTTTTTTTTTTTTTTTTTTTTTTTTTTTTGAGGCATGTCTCCCTCTGTCACCCAGGCTGGAGTGCTGAGCACCATCCTGGCTCACTCTAGCCTCGACTAACCAGGCTCAAGTGATCCTCTCACCTCACAAAATTGTTTTATTTTTATAGAGGCAGGATCTCTCACTATGTTGCACAGGCTGGTCTCAAACTACTGAGCTTAAGTGATCCTCATGTTTCAGCCTCCCAAAGAGTTAGGATTAGAGGTGTGAGACACCACACTAGGCCAAAACTTCTTATAAGGACATTAATCCCATCATGAGGGCCTCACCCTCACGACTTCATCTAAACCTCCCAAAGGTCCCATCTCCTGGGAGGGGAACACCGGTCAGTCCATTGCGTCTCCTTTACCTGGCGGACCCCTACCTCTTGCTTTAATTCTGCTCAGGCATCACTTCCTCAGGAAATCCTTGATTAAGCACCTCATATCCCCCCCCCCACCCCCCACCCCCGCTTCACTCTAAGGTGACAACACGGGCTTGAATTCATATTTTGTGCTTACTTCTTTCACGGCACTTGTCTCTGTTTTTTAATTATCTGTTTCTGGTCTGTTTCCCTAATGGACTGTGAGTTCCTTGACAGCACGGGCTTTGTCTTACTCAACGGTGTACTCCCAAACCCTAAAACACGGCTTGACCCATGGTAGGCAATTAACGATACTTTCTGAGTGACTAGAACAAAAAGTATTGACCTTCTTAATAAAAGAAAACCTAGAACCTTCAAGGCTGACATTGGCCTTCGCGTAGCCCAATCAGGGCGCTTTGCCCTTGCAGCAGAGGACCAAAGGACGCCACGCGACTGTTGCCTAGTAACCATCACCGGAGGGAGGCGAGCAGGGTCGCAAGCACGCCACCGGCGTCCAATCAGGACCTGCATTCCGGTAGCCAATAGCAGCTTCGGGAGCCGCTCACCTAGAGCGGACTACGCTTCCCGTCACGCCCCGCTGCCTGGGGCAGGACAGCGGCCGTAAAGCTGTTTGCTCGGTACGACGCGAGTCCCAGCTCAGCGCCTCTCCCGGGTCCGCGGGCGCTACCGCCCCCAGACGTGAGAGAGCGAAGTTCTGGGGCCGCGCTCCCTCCCCGCCCGGGCGCCCTCCCGCTCCGGGAGCCCGGGTTCCCGGGGCGGTCGCGGCGGCTGCATCCTCAGGCCAGGCCGCGGGGGGAGGGGGCGGCACGGGCCTCCGAAAGCCGGGCCATGGAGCCCAGAGAGTCGGGGAAGGTAGGACTGGAAGGCCCCGGGGCCGCCCGCTCCCTCCCGAGGATCCCAGAGCTGGGCTCGGGCGAGGCAGGGCGGCTTGGGCGGAGGCCCCGCAGAAGAGCCAGGCTTGCAGGGAAGGACTCACCGGCCCGCCCCCTCTCCCCGCACTTCGGCGCCCGCCCCCGGGAGGGTGGCGGAGAGGAGCGGACGCACCGGTTTGGTGTCTTCGCGTCCTCCCCGCGCGGCCGCTGGGTCGATGCTGGGTGGGGTGACCCTCGAGTGAAGCGATGCGGGGGTGCTTCCTGTTCCCCCCACCCCCGCCGGCGTTTTCAAGAGGCCTTGCTTGTCCAAAGGCTTGGAGTCTGGATTGGACGCTAGTGGGAGCCGCAGGGTGGGACGCTTGAGGTCTTGGGCCTGCCTAGATCCTCCTTCCCAAGATATTGGGAAGGGATCTTCTTCCCTAGATCCCTCCTTCTCTCTTTTCTCCTGCCCTGAAAAGAGAGGGCATCTGGCATGCTTTTTGCCACTTCTCTTTCTAGGTTATGTACTTCATGGAATATATGGGCATTGCTTAGAAGCATGTGTCGTAAATTGGCTTTGATTTGGAAGAAAAAGTGGAGAGAAAGTGCTTGGTGGGTAGAATTCAGTGGGTTGGACGGGATTGCCCGCGCTTCCAGGCTGTGTCCGCAAAGGCCAGTGTGGTTGTGGGCACATTAGCTTGGAGACACTGGCAGCCTTTGGGACTAACGTCTTTCTGGATGTTGTTTGCTGCCAGTTTCTCCAGGATTGTTTCTTATTTGGCACAGAGGAGAATTCTCTCAACAAACATTTTTGACTGTTATTGAGTCCTTTAAAAAAATTGTCCATTTAATAAGCATTTGCGATCTGTGATTTGCATTGAACGAGATGGTGGAAGTCTGAGGATAAATAGGAAATCACCACCTTTCTCAAGGAGCTCTCCTGCAGTTTTCATCTCGATAACTTGGAGACGCCTGGAATGGTTGTCCCGCCAAAAGAGAGAAAGGATAATGAGGGTCTTTTTTTTTTTTTTTTTTGAGTTGGAGTCTCACTCTGTCACCAGATGAGTGCAATGGCGTGATCTCGGCTCACTGCAACCTCCGCCTCCGGGTTCAACCAATTCTCCTGCCTCAGCCTCCAGAGTAGCTGGGGTTACAGGCACGTGCCACCACGCCCAGCTAATTTCTGTTTTGTTTTTAGTAGAGATGGGGTTTCACCATGTTGGCCAGGATGGTCTCGATCTCGACTTCGTGATCCGCTCGCCTTGGCCACCCAAAGTACTGGGATTACAGGCATGAGCCACCGCACCTGGCTGATAATGAGGTTCTTTTGATGCTGTAGTTTTTCCTGGGAAGACTAGGAAGGACTCTGAATTTCAGAAGAGGTGATTTCTCGCGTGAGCGTCTTCCATCCTCCCTCCACTCCACAAGCTACAGTGATGCATTTTCCAGACACGGCATCTACAGGGTACACAGTCCAAGACCATAAATGCTCAACAGAACCCTAGCGAAGATGGGGCTTGTGGCCCTTACCCTTTAGAAATATCCCTAGATTGGTTCACATCTAACCTGAATTTGAATAAAGAGGAGCAAAATGTAGGGGGAAGAAGGCTTATAGAATATTGGAATTGATATTGGAATTCGTGATTTGAGGTTGATTTCCAAGCTGTTCTGTTCCGTCGTGGGCTCTCTTAGCCTTTAATGGGAGAAGAGAGAAATAGTCACGCGCTGCGTAACAAGGTCTCCATCAGCACGACTCTCACGGACAGTCCCCCTGAGACTAGGTCAGGCTGAGAAATTCCTATCACCTGGTGACATCTTCATGATCCTGACCCTGTGTAGGCTTAGGCTAATGTGTGTGTTTCTGTCTTAGTTTTTAACAAAGCTTAAAAAGTAAAAAATAAAGATTTAAAAAACAAAACCCCATATAATTAGAATATCAAGAAAAATACTTTTTGTTGGCAGAATGGTTTGCTAGAAAATAGATAAAAATACAAAAATATTCAAGGAAAAATATTTTTGTACAGATGTACAAAGTGTGTTAAGCTAAGTGTTATTACAAAAGAGTCAGAAGCTTGAAAAATTAAGTTTATAAAGTAAAACAGTTATAGTAAGCTAGGGTTAATTTATTATTGAAGAAAGAAAAATGTTTAATAAATTCGGCATAGCCTCAGTGTGCAGTGTTTATAAAGTCTGCAGAAGAATTCAGTAATGTCCTAGGCCTTCACATTCTCTCACCACCCACCTGCCCGTGCAATCACTCATTCACTCACCCCCTCCGAGCTGTTTTGTGGTCTTGGGCCATTGGATTGATGTCCCACCTTGAGTGTAGGATATATTGCCTGTTATTGGCAGAATAATGAATAAAGGTCAGACCTTTCCCCATCATGCTCTGTCCCATGATCCTGTTTTATTTTCTTCCCAATCCTTATCGCTAAAAATTGTCAGGTTTGTTTATTTATTTACATATTTGTTGACTTGACTGTTATATCCCCGGCTACAACAGTGGAGCAATTCCTGGCACTTAATAGGTTCTCAGGAAGGAATGCTCATAAAATAGCATCACTCCAGGAGCCTTTTGCTGCAAGGTGTGGACGCTCTAGGGAACACTGTAGCGCAACACCTCATGCCCCCAGAGAGAAGTCTCTGTGCGTACTTGTTTCTGTATATATTCGTTGCCTCAACGTTTCTGGTTCCTGGCCCTCTGTCTTTCCTGTACAAGTGACTGATACTCCTTTTTCATTTTCCTCTGAACATGGTTCTGTTATTGCACTTACATCTTAGTTGTGTGTCACCTCCTGATAGATTTTAATCTCGTATCTTTGAATCACCATGCACCAAGCACAAACACTTAAGTAATAAATGTGTTTCGAATGAAAAAATGAATTAAGTGCCCATAAAATACTTTCCATATAACATAGTGGTGGGGAGAAGGGTGGTGATGATGAAGGAAGTTGTAAAATCAACCAACCAGCTAGGTTACCTGAAGGCTGGACTCTAGGGAGGGATCTAAAGCCTTCCTTGCTCAGGAGAAGGATAAACGCTTGGGCCAGATGGTTAGGAAATCTTGCCTGAAAGAGAACGTGAATCACGACTTTGTGGGTGGATGGATCCTAATTTGGTGGGAGGAAGTGGACAGTCAGGATCTAAAGATTGGGAGTGTAGAGAGAGGAAAGGTTCGAGATAGGTTGGGTGATTGCAGTGATAACGAATCTGGCTGGAGGAGACATTCCCAGTGAGGCGATGCATAGAGCTGAAGTTAGAAAGTGGGTCAGATTCAGACTGAGGGGATGTTGGTGCTAGACTGGGAAGTCAGACAGCTTTACCCTGTAGAGAGTGGGAACCGCTAAAATTGAACATTGGGAGATAATCTTTGCATTACACATAGATGAGGAATTCCTCTTATTCTTGCAGATTTGTGTTTTCTTTACATTGCAGTCACCTGGAATCAGAAGGCTCTTGCCATCATACTGCTTAACAGAAGTACCAGGCGTTAGTGTCATCACTCTTACTGGGAAGACACTTTATTATGGTCGTCTGTGCTCCTCCTCAGGTGGAGTGTGGGTGGAAAGTCTCTTAAGTGCCGAAGCAGAGATTGAAGCCTAGGCCAGTTCCTGCTTAGTAAATAGAGTATAGAAAGAAGACTAGAGTTAGGAATAAGTAGCTTGAGTGATTAGATATTAGTCTTATTGAATATTAAGCCTTGCTTAAAGCCTTCTTGTACTTTATGCATGATGATCTAGGAACTTCGGGTTGCTGTCCCATAGGGGACACTATGGAATGCATAGAGAATACCCTCTAGACCCAGCAGGGCTGGACCCTGCAGTGGAGCTAATGTGATGGGGCCCCTGGCCTTTATTATGCTCACCTGTGCATGCCCAGGAAGGATGGGCATGAATAGGGAGCCTGGCTGTCTCCTTCGTCACAAGTGTTTTCACCCGTCCCAGTCTAGTCAGGTTCCTTCCAGTCCTGGGATACAGCAGTCATCCCCAGTCTGCCTTCAGCTTAATGTTGGGGTTCCCTTTCATGCTTCCCCACATTGGCTGTCTCTAGGGTGTATCTCATGGAGACTTCTTTCCTGTTTGACCCCTTTCTTTTAGGGGAGGCTGTCTTCCAATAGCCTTTTGGAAATACTTCATTTTGTTTTGGAAGACACTCCAGAGCAAATAGTTATTTAAACATACATATTTGGCAGTACAATTCCACTTTTGTTTTTAAAACTGTTCATACATATTCATAGACTAAAGACTGGGAGGTTATATACCAAATGTTAACAGGTTCTCAGGAAAGAAGGGTAAGAAAAGCAGTTCTTTTTCAGTAAAGGGAATGTGGGTGATCTGAATACATTTTTTTCTGCTTATTTCTATTGCCCAAATTTTCTGCAGTCAACGTGAGAAAAATCCACTATAATATTGACCAGTGAGAATGATCTATATCGTTTTCCTCAAGAAATGTCTACTATTGAGGTTAAAATAGATATTTCACCTATTTTAAATGGCATGCTGCTATTTCCCCAAGTTATATTTCTTTGGAGTGAGAAATTTGTTTTTTGCTGATAATTTTATTGATTTATTTTTTATTTCTTTAGGTGATGTTTTCATGATACAAAATTTGAAAGGATAAACATTTCTCCTTTTTCTGATTTATCTTTCTTTCTTTCTTTTTTTTTTTTTTTTTTTTTTTTTTTTTTTTTTTTTTTTTTTTTTTTTTTGAGACAGAGTTTTGCTCTTGTTTCCCAGGCTGAAGTGCAATGGTGCAATTTCAGCTCATCAAAACCCCCGCCTCTCGGGTTCAAGCGATTCTCCTGCCTCAGCCTCCTGAGTAGCTGGGATTACAGGCATGTGCCGCCATGCCTGGCTAATTTTGTATTTTTAGTAGAGATGGGGTTTCATCATGTTGGTCAGGCTGGTCTCCAACTCCCTACCTCAGGTGATTCACCCTCCTGGGCCTCCCAAAGTGTTGGAATTACAGGCGTGAGCCACCGTGCCTGGCCTGATGATTTCTTTTATAACATTTTGTTTCATGGCTGCAGTATCTTACCTCTTTGATGGTATAGCTTGATGTTAGTTTTTTTTTTTAAGTTTTTTTTCCATGCCTCTCCACCATTTCCGTAGCAACCCCCACTTCCCCTCACACCTCCCATCTGTTTTGGTTCCTATAGTCCCTGTTAGATCCTTTCCCCAAGCACCTGGTAGTCCAGTCTGCTAACATTTAGCAAAGACCGAAAATCTAACAGCTCTGTGCTCATGGGGGCGGGGCTTATCAGCTGGAGCCTCCTGTAAAGGAAACTGGGGAGGCATTTGTTGGGGACACAGCCCTCCCCTAGTTCTTGTTCCGTTGGGGTTAGAGAGTTCCCTTGCTGGAATATGCCAAGCCTTTGAGGATGCAGGGTGTACCTTGGGCGGTTCTTCACTTGGCCCGCTGCCAGGCAAGGATTTGATTTTCTTGGATCTGCGAGTGACTGCTTTTTCATCTGCTTCTTGGTTTCCAAGATTGTGTTACTGTTGGCTCCTTGTCATGCCTCCTATTATAGTGGGGGTTTTGTTTTGGGAAGGGAGTCTTTTAAGTTCATGGAGAATGAACAAAATTAAATGGGCTTATTTAATCCGGCATCTTAATCTGGAACTCCTCCAAACACTTTCTGAATTCCCCAGCCCCACAGAGCTCCTTTACAAGCCACGAGGGCTATAGATCTCAGCCACAAAGTGTTGTCTGTTTTCATCATCGATTTTATTCACAGACATAGTTCTAAATGACTTTCAGCTGTTTCTAGAAATCAGACACGTCTTCCTAAGTGAAAATTTACCACGTTTAAGGTTCCATGAAAGAATGTGCCCTGAATTTGCCCAGCCCCTGGCTGAGAAGTAACAGGTATGTGAGAGGCAGATGAAGAGCATGCGGGGAGAGGATAGAGAGGCTCCTGAGCTGGCCTCCTTCATGGGTCGGTTTCATTTCAGTGCATGGCACTTCCCAGAAGAAACGAGTCTTGTTCTCACTGTGATCTGTACCCAGGTGGTGAGAGGTGGGGTGTGGGCCATGCACGTAAATTGACAACACCCCTCTCCAGGCAGGGAAGCCCTCAGGTGGGCAGCAACACTTGTGGAAGATAAATCTAAGGAAGAGGGTGGTACTTAGCAGCTGTCATTTTCCTTTCAGGCTCCTGTGACGTTTGATGACATCACTGTGTACTTACTCCAGGAGGAATGGGTGCTGCTGAGCCAGCGGCAGAAGGAGCTTTGTGGTTCCGACAAGCTGGTGCCACCGCTGGGTATGGAGGCCCATCCACATCCCTGCCGCGGTCAGTCTAGATCAGCATTCCCAACCTCATCTGGGTCAGGAATATGGAGACCGTTTTCTGGATGTCTAGGCATCTTCACCACCTATCTGCTCCATCCCGTATCTACTGTAATTGCATGCTAATCCACACATCACCCTTTCTCTTCTCCCCTTAAAATGGTCAAGAGAAGTGGAGTAATCTGGCAGGCCTGAGCTAGACTCCTGGATCTGTCTCCTGGTGCCTCGGGATGCCCCAAGGGGCCAGGAGGGAAACTTGGCCTGCACATCTGTGAATCGCATAGGACGCTGGAGGTAGAAGCAGTGGTGGAAGAGCATTACGTTTGCAATGTGGAATCTGGTCTCAATCCCAGCTCTCCACTGGATACTTGAGTGCCTTTGGCTTTTTTAAGCCTTAATTTCCATCTTCTTAGGGTGGTTGTGGAGATTTAGTGAGATAAAACAGTTAAAACTTTGCATAAGTGTAGGTATTTTTCTTCTCTTCTAATTTTTGAATGCTCTTTCCTCTGATTCTTTGGGTAGACTTTCTGCGCCAAGGACGAAGGTGGTTGGTTGTGTTTCAACATATGCACTGTTTGCTGATTGCAAGTTGGTGACTGTCTACCATGCCTTTCTTTTCTTATTTCACCTTGGCCCCTGTGTAAGTCATGGTAGGGGCAACAATCTCCTACCAATCTTTTGTGGGTAGAAGGATTGCAGCGGGGGTGAGTTGTCTTGTGTCTGCTAAAAGTGTTTGAAAACCACTGGTTCTTCCAAACCAGAAGTTGCAAAGTAGCAGCTTACGGGCCAGATGTGGCTCACTGCTTGGAGTTCTGTTTGGTTTTTCGGCTTTTGTTGCTTTTGTTTGGCTTCTTAAAAATATTTAAGTAAATTGCCAATATTTAATCATTGGGAGTTTTCACGTTAGAATGTGGATTTCTGGCACCTCTCGACAAATGGGATGGTGTGGCAGGGCTGAGCCTGCATCCCGTGTGGCAGTCCTTCTGCCACAGTTGAACAGCTGCTATTCCCTTACATGGGGTTATGCCTTCCAGGTTGCCACAGCCCCTGCACCTGGCCTGGTTTGCTCTGTTATATGACCAGGCTGGCCCCTCTCAGCATTTGGGTTTCTGACCCATAGTTTTTATACCTGTTTAGCCTTCCTTGTGCCCTCAGTCCTTTCTCCTAGTCCCCTGTTCTGTTAGGGGGCTCATAGATATCTGAGTTGCTAAACCACTGAACCACTGTGCTGAACCATCAGGACTCCTACCTCCTCCTTGGCCCCTTATCTCACCATGCTGAGAGAAAGTCACAGACAGATACCTCCTTCGCGTTGTGACCTGGAGCCAGACCCTCATAGTGCTTTGAACTCTTTTTTTTTTTTTTAAACTCAGGACCAACTGTTGCCAACCCTGAGCTGTTCCGTAAGTTCGGGCGAGGGCCAGAGCCATGGCTTGGCAGCGTCCAGGGCCAGGGGAGTCTTCTGGAGCAACACCCAGGTGAGTGTGGACCTGCACCCAGGAGCGGGCACTTGGCTGGAGAGGGAGCAGAGGCGGCCCCAGGACTCCAGGCTCATCCTCGGCCTTTCCCGTCCTCCACCAACTGACACTGCTGTTCTCCCGGGAGTTAGCTTATTAATACCTAAATGTACACACTGCCCCAGCGTCCTTCTCCAGCCGCTCATCTCCCATCGTCTTATTTCTACCCAAGAGAATTTGTTTATAATGAGTATAAGTTCCATGAAGACATGACTTTGTCTTATTTACTACCTTATTCCTAGTGTTTAGACCAATACCTGGCACTCAGCAGTTGCACAGTAGATAATCACTGAATGAATGAACAACTGTCTGCTAATTTCTAGGGATTTATCTTTTCTCTTTTTTTTGAGACGGAGCCTCGATCTGTCACCCAGGCTGGAGTGCAATGGCGTGGTCTCGGCTCACTGCAAACTCTACCACCTGGGTTCAAGCGATTCTCCTGCCTCAGCCTTCTGAATAGTGGAGGTTACAGGCGCCTGCCACCACGGCCAGCCAATTTTTGTGTTTTTAATAGAGATGGGGTTTCACCATGTTGGCCAGACTGGTCCTGTTCTCCTGATCTCATGATAGGTACCCCTAGGCCTCTCAAAGTGCTGGGGGGTTTATCTTTTCTTTCCTCTTTTGATAAGACCCTCCTGTTCACGGATTGGCTTAGCCCTTTACAATCTTGTCATTATGTAAAATAACTGACTTAACCCAGCCCCTCCTGTGGGAGAAGAGAGAGGTGGAGAACAAGAGCCCATATGAATCAAATCACAGAAGTTTGTTTTCCCTTGTGATTTCTCTCAGATAGACCACAAGACACTCTAGACAGCTTTGTGACTCTGTAAAGTATCATAGAGACAAATTTGTTTTGTTTCATTTCTCCTTGCTTGGCTCTTACTTTGAGCCTTCTGACTCCTATTAACCGCCTCATGCCCTTACAGTTTTGTAGACCAGTCTGTTGGCCTGGCATGAAAAATGTTGAGTCCACTGGGCACTGGAACTTATCTTGGTGTATAAGAAATGGTTCCACAGGAGTTACAGTATATTGAGTTGCATTTCATCTAAGGAGTGAATAAAGAAGAAAGATCTTAGTGAGGTCATGAGAGTCCTCATCTCTTTGAAGGGTTGTGGTATAAGAGGAATTAGGCTTGAGTTTCTCTTGAGGACTGAGTCAGTATCCAGTACTTTGATGTAAAAGTATTGGAAGATAGATTACAGCTTAAGGAGAGCTACCTGCGGACCAAAACTGCCTGCCCAGAAGGCAGGTAACTCTCTTTCCATGGAGTCGCGGTGTGTGGCTTTAATGATCTTTTTTTAATCCTATGTTCTATTACATCAATGTTCTTATCCATAAATAAATTTTGACTCCTGAAGATTGTACCACTGTCTTACATTTCACAGATTAGATTGCAAAGATTTTGGCCAGTTGTATCTGTCCTTTAAATTAAAAAAGCAGAAGGGACGGGGAGGGTTCTGTAAAGCCATCTCTTTGGCTTTCTTCTGGATTAGGTGAGGGAAGGGTCTGCAGACTTGGCCGGGACTAGAAGAAATTTCAGGTGTATGAGCGCTTTCTGCCTTTCACGTTTGATGTACCTCAGAGCCCCTGTGAGTAGCAGTGGCTCGAACTGTAGGATTTTAAAGCAGATTCCTTCTGTCCCTTTTCTCTAAAGGAAAAAAACAGATGGGCTACATGGAAGAAATGGACGTGCAAGGTCCTACCAAGGAGAGTGGACAGTGCCTGCCGCCTCGGAAGAAAGCCTGCCTTTCCCACCTCAATACGGGGAGTGGACACATCAAGGGAGACTGGGCAGGAAGAAACAGGAAACTCCTGAAGCCCCGGTCCATACAGAAGTCGTGGTTTGTGCAGTTTCCATGGCTGATTGCGAATGAGGAGCAGACGGCTCTGTTCTGCTCTGCTTGCCGAGAATACCCCTCCATCAGGGACAAGCGGTCAAGACTGATAGAAGGTTATACAGGACCATTCAAGGTGGAGACGCTCAAGTACCACGCCAAGAGCAAGGCCCATGTGTTCTGTGTCAATGCCTTGGCAGCAAGGGACCCTGTCTGGGCAGCCCGGTTCCGGAGCATCAGAGACCCACCTGGAGATGTCCTGGCCAGCCCGGAGCAGCTCTTCACTGCGGATTACCCCGTATTCTACCCACCAGGACCTCTGGGAGGCTTTGATAGCATGGCTGAGCTCCTACCAAGCTCAAGAGCTGAACTAGAGGACCCTGGGGGGAGTGGAGCAATTCCTGCAATGTATCTAGACTGCATTTCAGATTTGAGGCAAAAAGAAACCACTGATGGCATCCACAGCTCCTCAGACATGAGTATTTTATGTAATGATGCAGTAGAATCCTGCATTCAGGTAATACGTTTATAATGATTGCTGTATCTTACAGAGAAGGATTCAATACTGAGAACAGTGTGTATCCGTGGAGATGATGAAAAAAAGCATTAGTGATAACCTACTGCTGACATCATAATGTTAGCATATACTGACATGCGTATCGTGGACGAGGCATTGTTTTAGATGCTTTACGTGTATTATCTCATTTAATTTGGACAACAACCCTATTATTATCATCTCCTTTTTGCAAATAACAAAACATACTTTGTGAGATAGAACATTTCTACTTCTGGTATAAAGGAAACAATAATCTTTATTCAGAATCTAAAATAAACATAGATCTCAAGAAATAGCCTGCAACCACAAACAATCACAGAGCTCTTAGTCAGTATTTAACTTTTTTTAAGAGTCAGGCTGTCGTTCTGTCACCCAGGCTGGACTGTGGTGTGATCATAGCTCACTGCAGCTTTGACCTCTGAGGCTCCAGTGATCTTTCCCACTCTGCCTCCAAGTAGCTGGGACTACAGGTGTATGCCACCATACCTGGATAATTTATTAGTTTTTGTAGAGATGGGAATCTCACTATATTGCCCACACTGGTCTTGAACTCTTGGGCTCAATCAAAACTCCCACCTCAGCGTCCCAAAATGCTAGGATTACAGGTATGATGTACCACACCTGGCTAGTATTTTTAAAAACGTTAACTTTAACTTTGGAGTCATGTTGCACTTTTAAACATTGCAGTTTTTCACACGTGTTGTTTGGTGTAATGTTTCTAATGTTGCTGCGAGGCCGGTAAAGCAAGTGCTATTAAACTCATTGTGTTGGAAGAAAACTGAGGCTTTGGAGGAAGTGACATGTCCCGGGTCCTAGCGCTCCTATAGTCAGTGCCAGAATCTGCCCAGAGTCCTGCGCTCCCAGCCCAGTGCTTTCCTTCCATTCCTGGCAGCGCTGCTGGGCACTAAAGGACTCTAGTGCCCACCTAAGGATTCCTTTGTAGTTACCGAATGCTTTGGGAAGTTGTCCTCTAAGGAAACTACGTTCATTGGAAGCTTCTCCATTTCTCACCTGTTGCATAGAAGTAGAATTTTGCAACAAATCATTTTTAACTCCCCTCCAGGAGTCCCATGAGAATAGCTCAGAGGTTCTTCCTCGAGCTGACATCATAAGAAATCCAGCTCAAGTTCATAAACTCTCATTTTTCCAAAATCCAGAAAAACAGCATAGCTCATTTCTTTTCCTGTTCCTGATATTTTTTAGTATTAGGGCAGACATAACCTTTTATGATCTGAACTCCTTTAGCAGTGAGGCATTGTAAACCAGTTGCTGGTGGTAAGCATCGTTAGCTTTTTTGACCACCTCTTCATTCGCATCCCGTTGGGAAATCTCAGAGGTGTTCCTTAAGGCACACGGTCACCTTTTAGTTGTAGTGAACAGAAGGCAGCTCTCAGGACTGACGACAGCAGTCAGACGCTCTGCCCGGCTGCCCATTCTTTTCTCACACTTTCATTTCCGCCCAGGGGATTCTAGGGTCTGACCAAGTCTCACTTGGTTTTTACCTACTGATTCTGGGCCTCCTGAATTTGATTCTTTGACTTTCAATGTATAAATTAGTTCCTCCGAGTGCATCTGGGCCTCTTGGTAAGCTTCCCAGGAGAAATGGGGCTCCGAAGGCCCCGGAAGTGTCACGTGGGTGCCTGGCTTGTCAGGTGGTGCTGAGCGGCCGCTGCTCTTTGTTCCAGGACCCTTCTGCAGAGCGGCTGTCGGAGGAGGTTCCTGTGGTGTTTGAGGAGCTGCCAGTGGTGTTCGAGGATGTGGCAGTGTATTTCACCCGGGAGGAGTGGGGCATGCTAGACAAGCGGCAGAAGGAGCTGTACAGGGACGTGATGCGGATGAACTACGAGCTGTTGGCATCCCTGGGTAAAGACGCACTGAGACTCTTATTCGCCATCCTCATTTGACTCGGGAAGCCCACAAAGGCAGCTGGGGCTTGTGGTTATCTTCCCATTCCTGCCCTCCCATGCACAGACAGAGACCAATCCTGTCTTTGCACCTCAGAACTCCCCTGCTTGGGGTAACTGTGCTTTATCACCTTCTCATCCACCCACTCGTCCACCCATTCATCCCCCACCAGACATTTTGGAGTACCTCCTGTGTGCCAGATGAGCACGGCTGAGCCACGTCTCTGCTTTCAAGGACGTAGCACATTTGTGGGAGAGACAGACATTTTAATAAGAAAACATAAAATAGTACAGTCTCCCCCAAAAGAGCTTCCAGAAGAGTAGCCAGGGCTACTGATAAAGAGAGATTTGATTTCCTGGGTATTGGCGGGAGAGATCAGGAAGCATTTATAGAGTCGGAAATGTTTTATTTGAGTTCAAAACCAGGTGGACCAAAAGGAGGAAGGGCATTGACCCATGATGGTGGGGATGGCCTGGCAGAGCCACCCCATCTGTGCAGCTCAGGGCTGAGGCTCCTGCATTTGGGCCAGGTGCCAGCAAGGGCTGGCAGCCTTCAGGATGGGGGGCATGGGGTTTGGACCTTGGAGCAGGAAGAGGGCAGTGCTCATTACTCAGGATAGTGCTCTCCTCTCCTGCATCTGCTGTTTGATCTTCTCTTTGCGTCTTTCTGGCAGATGAGCAAGGTTCTTATGAAGCATCAAGATGGAAATACAACGTTTTTTTGGACACAGGGTCTCGCTCTGTCACCCAGGCTGGAGTGCAGTGGCACGATGCTGGTTCACTGCAACCTCTGCCTCCTGGGTTTAAGCAATTCTCCTGCCTCAGCCTCCCAAGTAGCTGGGACTACAGGTGTGCACCACCATACCTGGCTAATTTTTGTATTTTTAGTAGAGGCGGGGTTTCACTATGTTGGCCAGGCTGGTCTCCAACTTCTGACCTCAGGTGATCCACCCCCTCCCCTCCCCAGCCTCCCGAAGTGCTAGGATTATAGGCATGAGCCAGCACACCTGGCCAACTCTTCATCTTACACAGCTTTTACATATTTCTTTACCAACATACATTATAACAGAAACCTTGTAGAACAGGCTGTTGTAGGTGCCTTAGGAGTTCCAGCAGCAGCCTGTGTTGTGACTTCCGCAAAACGGGAAATAGGAAAGTTTGTGACTTGATTGATGTCATAGCCCCTTGTGTTACCGCTCTTTCGGGTGCAGCTAAGATCTGGATTATTTTCTAAATATTCTTGACTTACATACATGTTTTTACCATTGTTGATAATTTTTAAATGGCTCCCCAAACATTCAGAAGTGACTTAAATTATTTATTTTGTGGTGACAGGTTTTGTGATCGTGCCCTGGGTTAGGAGTTTCCGTTCAAAGAGCATCACTGCCCCTGCCGTGCTGAAAAGCAGTGAGAGTGAGGGTGAAATTCACATCTCTTTTAAAAATGGGTACCCTCCTACAAAAAGTTGGGTTTTTTTTTTTTAAAGTAATGGGCACTGGCGACTCTGTTTCCCTCTGAAGCCCCCAGACGATGGTGAAAGTACCGGGCACGTGGGGAGGGCTGGCCAGGATTGTTTAGCCTGTGCCTATTCCTTCAGGCTTGTGTTTCATGTACATAAATTAGGCAGTAGGGAAATCTTAGCTAACTAGGGGAATTAAAGTCTTTTAAGTTTTATTTGGATGAACATAAAATGTTATCAGAGGGAAAGGAACTTGTTTTCCTTGCGGGTCAGAGGCAGGAATCAGACAGGCTTTCTAGGGGTGGGCCTGGTGTCTCGGGTTGTCCGTGAAATTTAGACAGGTGTAGGAATCTAGAAATTGAGTTGCACGTGTGTGATTCCTTTCAGTTACTTTAATTGGGTCTCTGGTTATCCTTTATCCCCCAGTTTCAGCAGTTCTTCATTTTTGAGATATAAAAGTGTTTTAAGGAGCCTGGAGACTACAGGCAGGGCCTGGCATAAGCTATTTGTATGTTTAAAAGTGACCTTTTAAAAGGCATCAAGCCAACAACTGGGATATAAAGTAGTGTTGAAACATAGTGGAGATTTTGTAATTGTTATTATTTTTACTTTGGCTAGTTTTTTTTTTTTTTTTTTAAGTTTCCTACACTTTACCCTCCATAACAAATGCTTTAAGAATTGAAAACCAAATATTATTTTGCATTATCATTTAATTACTTTTTGAAATAGAACACAAACTGCCGGGCACGGTGGCCCACACCTGTAATCCCAGCACTTTGGGAGGCTGAGGTGGGTGAATCATGAGGTCAGGAGTTCAAGACCAGCTTGGCCAGCATGGTGAAACCCCCATCTCTACTAAAAATATAAAAATTAGCTGGGCGTGGTGGCATGTGCCTGTAGTTTCAGCTACTCGGGAGGCTGAGGGAGGAGAATCTCTTGAACCCGGGAGGTGGAGGTTGCAGTAAGCCGAGATTGCGCCACTGCAGTCCAGCCTGGACGACAGATTGAGACTCCATCTCAAAAAAAAAAAGAAAAATGACAGTCCCCTGTCCCACCTTTCTCTTTTAGGAAGTCCTCTTCCCCAGAAGCTTGTAGCTGTTTCTTCCAGTAATTTGCTGCATTATTTCTAAATAACGTATGTGGACATAATCTTAGAAGGGATGGACTCCGCAGGATGTGCTCATGAAACAGCTGCATCCTCCAGCTCACATCTGAGCATGTCAGCCCTGGGGCCCCTTTCTTTTTCACCCTCTGGGTTAAATCTAGGCAGGGCTCAGAACTTTTTCTTGTCACACTCAGATAACATAAAATCTTCCTGGTCTAATTTCAGTGAGTGTAATGCCCAGTACAAAGCTCTTCAAAAGTGTCCTGATCCAAAAAAGACAGAGAAAGGCTGGCAAACTCCCGCAATTCAAGGAGACTGAAGCGGTGTGACAACTTGAGTGCATGCTGCTGGGAGAGATGCTGGGCTCTAGAGACATTTTGGGGACAAGGGGAGAAATTTAGTATGGACTGTAGATTAGATAATACTATGATATCAGTGTTGAGCTTCCTGGTTTTGATCATTGTAACTCTGGTTGTATGACACCTTTGCTTTCTGCTGCCCCATTTCAAATGACTGCAGACTTATGTATTACCTCACAGCTCTGCAGGTCGGGAGTCCAGGTGGGCCTAATCAGGTTCTCTGCTTAGGGTCTTAGCCCAAACCAAGGGGCTGGCCAGAGAGGCTTCTGTCCGGAGGCTCTGAGCTCACTTACACTGTTGCCAGAACCTAGCTCCTTGTGGTTCCCCTGCTGCCTATCAGTGGGAGCATTTTCAGCCCAGGGGCTGCCCTTGGTTGCTTCCCTGTGGCCCCTCCGTGCTCAGGCTGGCCGCAGTGTGAAATCGTCATGTGCCTTGAAGCTCTGACTTGGCAGCTGAGAACAGCCCCTGCTTTGAAAGAGCTGTGTAATTAGGTCGGGTCCACCCGCTAATCTCCCTTTGCTGTGCAAGGTGACATGATGACAGCGTGACCTCTCATCCTGTTCAGCATCCCCTCACCTCAGGGGAAAGGGGTCAGGCCAGGGCGAGGGCCCTGGAGCCCGTGTTTGAATCCCGCCTACCACCTATGCGAGCGTCATTTTTGTTGGGTAATACGAAGTCTTTAGGAATAAAGTGGCATGCAAGCAATTTACTCTTAAATGGTTCAGAAAAATATTGTAGTGATGTGTGTAGACCCAGCAAGAGCGTGTGCCTGTGAGCTCACAAGCCTGCCTGGAACACATGAGGCGAGATGTTAGCGATTGGAGTTCCTTATATTATTCGATCTTCTCTGTAAATTTGACTTTGTATCTAAACTTTACCAAAAGGAAAATTTAGGAAACAAAAGCGCAGTTTCTGTGTAGTAGTAGAAAATCTGGACTCCATTTAACACTCAATTCTTGCCTTACCAGCCTCAGTCTGCTGCAGCTATAGAATCTGGACCCATGCAGTAGAAAGAAGGTCTCCTCTTCTCCTACCCCCTGCTGGTTTCAGAATTTCTGACTCATCCTCAGTGGGAATGGCATGGTGGGTAGGTGGGAGAGGTAAAAGAAAGGTTTCACTTGACATGTAATCTGACACCAGCCACTTAAGAGCTGTGGTCCTTTAAAGCTGGTTCTTTGGGCGTGTGTGTGGATTCCGCAATACCCGCCACAGGCCCTGGGATCTTCTTGCTTGCAGTTGCCTGGACCTGGGTAAATGTCTGCCCTGGCAGCCTGTCCCATGTAGATTCCTTCACAGGGGAGCATCAGAGCGGTAGCCAACCACCACGAGCAGGCCCCACAGACACCACCAGGCCTCTTCTTCTTCCCTGCGTAGCCCACATCTGAACCATGGAAGCACTTCCAGACCCTGTGCTCTGACAGACCTGGAGTGTGGGCCATTCCCGACACGGCCACCTCCAAGGCACCGGCAGCCTATGGCTGCTTTAGTCTTACCCAGGCCTGAACTCCTGGCTGCTCAGTGATACAGGTCAGGTTAGGGGAAAGGGCGCACCCACGCTCCCCATAGTCAGGGAGAGAGGCTCACAATACCCTTGACAACGCTTTCCAGAAACATCCCTGGTGCCCAACTTCCTGGCTTCCTCAGTCTCAGCTGTGTGACTCTTCCTTATGGGTGCAGGCTAGAGCCACGCCCCCTCCAACCCCCGCACTGGGCCCTCAGCCATTCTCTTTCCAGGTTAGATGTCCGTGTCTGGCTTTGGAACACTGGAGAGCTGGCTCCTACTTTGGGGGGCTTTGCCAGAGCAGGCAGCCAGAATCACACTTTCACAGCCTGTTGCTTGTGTTTATTGTATTCCCGCTTTATTGATTTTAGATATTCTGTATAGATTCCTACTGTGGAAGATGGAGATATGGCCCTGTTACATCACCTGGGCCCCACTTCTCTTCTCTCCATCCTCTCAGAACAGGTACATCACACTTTTTTGGTTAAATTAGTATAAATTATTTGCCCAGTTAGGATGATGTATGATTTGCTGTTGAACAAGGGGGTGTCGTGTGATGGTATTTCCTTCACTGTAGGACTCTTCCCCCTGGAATTGGAAAATCTTTTCTTCTTTTTTATTTTTCTCACTTACTGTGCCCTCATCAATTCCTTCCAGACTCTCCAGTGGAATTATAAAACTCCTCTGGCCGGGCGCGGTGGCTCAAGCCTGTAATCCCAGCACTTTGGGAGGCTGAGGCGGGTGGATCACGAGGTCAAGAGATCGAGACCATCCTGGTCAACATGGTGAAACCCCGTCTCTACTAAAGATGCAAAAAATTAGCTGGGCATGGTGGCACGTGCCTTTAATCCTAGCTACTCAGGAGGCTGAGGCGGGAGAATTGCCTGAACCCAGGAGACGGAGGTTGCGGTGAGCCGAGATCGCGCCATTGCACTCCAGCCTGGGTAACAATAGCGAAACTCCGTCTCAAAAAATAAATAAATAAATAAATAAATAAAATAAATAAAACTACTCTGAAGAGGCTTTTCCCCGTGACGGGACATCCTGTGACCTCTCCGTTTCATTCTTTCTCTGGAGACTTCGCTCACAGGGCCTTCCCCTCCCCTGCTCTGTCTAACCTAGGCGCCCTTTAGGCCTGCAGCACACCTGTGGCCTGAGACGTGCCCGTCTCTCCCGTCTCCTGAGTCTTGTCTCTTCTTTCGTGGTTGACGTCTTCATTTTGTTAGTACACATTTTCCAGTGGCTTCCTAAGGAAGGGTGCAGGGGAGGCCGCCTTCTGTGATGCATCCTATCTAAAAATGTAGTATTGGGGTTCAGGGGTACCCCCTCAGTTCCCCTGAGAGGACATTTCTCCAGGTTCTTGGTCACTCATTCCCCAAGAATGGGTGAGGAGACCACGGCACAGTGCACAGTAAATGCCAGACTTAAGAAGTGTTGTAGAAAGTGATTTTATTTAGGTGGAGAGAGAAAGAAGCAGCCAACTCTCACACTGAGCGGGAGAAAGAAAAGCCTCTCCCACACTGAGTGAGAAGGGTTCCCAGAGCGGGAGAACTAGAGAAGGAAAGCTCCTCTCACACTGAGTGAGAGAATCCAGAAAGATGGAACCCAGGAGAGGAAAGCAGCTTCCACACTGAGAGGAGACACGTGCAGTTTAGGAGAGGAAAAGCAGCTTCCACGACAAGAGTGTTCGTGGATGGGGACCCAAACATGGAGTCCAGAGGGGTGTGGAAGACGGGGACTTTTAACCCAGGAGGAGCCCCCCACCTTCTCTAAGACGCCTGGCCGATGAAAGGAGTTCCTTAGAATTTCCGCTGCAGTGATTGACTCTTAGTTTCTTCCCCCGCCCTCGAAATTTAAACATAAACTGTTAAATCTGTTGGATGGAGATGGGAGAGGGGCACGGTGCTGGGAATTTCTTGCCCTAGAAACTACGCCCCCTTGTGGACCTGGAAGGAGAACACATTCCCTCAAAAACACCCATATTCTTCCCTCTTGATTCAGTGATGACTTGGTTGGGCATAGGATTCTAGGTTGGAAATACTTTTCCTCAGCATTTCGAAAGCATTGCCCCTGTAGGTTTTACTGGTGCTGTTGAGAGCTCTAGTGCCTTCTTATTCCAGAATCTTTGAACATGACCTATTTGTTTTACTCCGAAAGCTTTTGAAATTGATTTTGATTTTCTCAAATTTGTAATGACATGCCTTGATGTTTTACATAAAGTGTGTTTTAAATCTTTTGTTTTGGGTATCTGGTATTTCCCTTCCATGTAGAAACTTGTCTTTTCCTGTTTGGGGAAATTTTCTTGTATGATTTCTTCCTATCTATTTTCTCTTTTCTTTCTTCCAGAAACTCCTTCCTGTTAGTTTGATTTTAGACTTCCTGGATTGAGCCTCTGGTTTTCTGTTTGTTTCTTTTTCTCCTGTTTTCTGCTTTTATCTTTTCTAGACTACTTTCTTGTACATTTCCTCCATTTTATTTTCTAACAATGGTATTTATTATTGAGTTTTTAATTTTTTATTCTATTGGGTTTTTTAGTTTCTAAAACTCTTATTGCCTCTTTCATGAAAGGCTATCATGACTTTTCTCACTGGCAATATTAATTCTCATTATTTGGAAGTTTTGTTTTGCTCCTTGCTCTATCTCAAGTTCTTCCAAACTTTTTCCTACTCGTTTTGGTTTCTCTCTTTTATGTTAGAAGCTTTTCTTAAATAATTATTTCTAGGTTCATTCCTGTGTAAGAGTAAGCCTTTAAAAACTGACTGGAAGCTCTGTGCATGGCTGGGAAGATCAAGAGTATGTTCCACTTTTCACTGTAGGGTAATCAGCTGTAAACCCAGATGTCTTACTGAAGAACCCACAAAAGTCAGTATCCGTAGATCTTTTGAGGGAAGAGAGAAGGGCCATTCCATTTTTCTAAAGAAAACACTTCCCGTCTCCTGTTTGGAGGGTGTGATAAGCCCAGCCAGCATTCTTGGAGTCGAGCAGTGCACCCCTCAGTCCATAGACGTGACTTGATCTCCCTGCTTTCAGAACCACACCGCCCATTCACCTTTCCCTGTATATGGTTTCTGGGATCTGGAGCTTTTCTGGGTAAGTTTTTCTGTACACTAAGCCTCTCTTCTCCTCTGGGGTGTGGTGGTGGTATTTCCTGGAACAGGTGAGGGGACCAGGGATTTAGCAGATTTCTGTGCAGACTCTGAGCCAGTCCCCTGCTCCCTCCTGTTCCCCACCCACCACCTTCTCCTGCACCTGGTGCCTGCAGTTGCTGAATCTTTCTGGGATTCCGTGGTACCAACCAACTTGCTTCTCCTTGTTAACCCCTCCGCAGGCACGTGGTGTTCAGCTCTGTTCGTTTCTCTTTTGCTCCTTTCCTTCCAAAATTGGAAGGTCCGATTTTTCTCTTGGGCTTATCCCTCATTTTGTTGTTATTATTCCTTTGCATATATCCTTCTTAAAATATCTCTAAGTATCTCATTTATTTTTCCTTTGCATATATCCTTCTTAAAATATCTGTAAATGTCACATTTAGAAATATTTTAAGAAGGATATGTGTTCAATCTAACACACTTTAGTAATTTACTTTTTATTTTTATTAGTAATAAATATATAGATATTACACACACACACACACACACACACACACACACGTATCATTATATATATAAAGATATTCAAGTGATCCAAAGATAAGCAGTGGAAACCAACCTCCTTTTCCCTTTGTCCTTCACTTCCTCCCGGGAGCACCCATAGGCCCGGTTGCTTGTGTGGCCTTCCACAGAAAGTGTATGCACATATTCACATAGACACACACAAAAGCATGATGTAGATAGTGATGGATTTTATTTTCAGTAGAGGAAACAGTTTATTTGCATACCCTGAACAATACTCCTATTTAAGTAAAGTGCTTAATCCAAAGACACAAAACTCTTTTAGTCAGATTTCAGGCTGCATGGCAGGTGGTAGATATTTTGGGGGTGCCCTCCATGTGCCCATTTCAAAAACCTATATAGTTGATCACCTGCACAAAGGCCAGTGGTGGGGTAGAGGGGCACATGGGTGGGCCAGCTGTGGGTGGCACCTTCCACTCCTCAAGTGGCTGCACGCCCTCCCCCGCCACCACACACACTGCTTCTCTCTCTTGCTTAGTCCCTGCGTTTCTTCCTGTTTCCACCCTTCCCACTCTGGTGTGTATGGCTGGACCATGACTCCCGGGGCTGGCCTGTGGGTCTGAGGAAGTCCCATCCTAGCAGAGGCATGCCCCTCCTCGACTGCCTCTTTCGCACTCCGGGTGTGCGCTCAGCCTGCCCCAGCCCACCAGACTTTTTAAGGACAGAACACAGAGACACCTCTGTGTATTTCAGGGGCCGAGTCTAGCTTGAGCGGGCTACTCAACTTGGCCTCAGCATTGATAGCAGCATGATTCTTCATCTCTGCAACAGGACCTGCTGCTGCCAAGCCGGACTTGATCTCCAAACTGGAGCGGAGGGCTGCGCCCTGGATCAAGGACCCAAATGGGCCAACGTGGGGGAAAGGTCGTCCTCCAGGTGAGTCTAAACCGATGGCGTTCTGAAGGGCACGTGCCAGGGTGTCTGTGATGAGTCACACAGCATGAGTTCAGCTGTGCTCATCCGACTGGGGCCCATAGGGCACCAAACCGGGCAGAAGGCCCTGTGCAGACAAGATGAGTAAGCAACGAACCCTGCCCACAGAGTGCAGAGTAGTCTGTGAAACTGGGAAACAACAGGTCCTCTTGTAAGCAGAAGGGCTGATAGGGACTGTGGCAGAGCTGGTGGGAGCAGGTCGGTGGGGACACTGGTCTCAAGGAGCCAGAGGACCCAGAGGTCTGTGAGCCTCTCATCCCTTCTCCCTCCTCCTCTGTGCTTGGTGACAGCACCATTTTTGTGAGAATTCATTGTCTTGGGTGTCTCACTCAATCAGTAACATCTTTGCTTGTAGCTACTGCACATACTTCTGGACCTACTTCTTTCTGAGGCTTGTAAGAAGCCTTGGCAGGTATTTAACCTGTTTCCATAGTGGAGCTTCACACAAGGCTGAAAGCCAGCTGCTTATCCGACAGCCTCTATGTCCCCAAGGGGGTTAATTGAGCTTATTGGCATCTGGTGTCACGTGATCCCAGGGTAGCTGCATGGATAGGGTGGTGCGGGTGCTGGTGAAAGAACCCACAAGGATTAGCAACCACTCTGGGGGAGCCAGATTGACTTTCCCAGATAAGAATGGAGGAGGGTTAAAGTGGACGCCACTACTGATCTCTAGAAAGAAGGACTGCATTCGTCCTCTCTGCTGTGCTTAATGGATACTTATAAATTTGGGGGTGTCTTAGCTGATAGAAGACTGCAGAGTTCTGGGTAGCAGAACCAAGCATGATTGAATTTTCCCCAAAGGGAACAAGAAGATGGTGGCAGTGAGAGAGGTGGACACACAGGCCTTGGCTGCAGACTCCGCGCTGCTTCCAGCCTCTCCCGTGGAGGCCCATGCCTCCTGCTGCAGTGCCGGCTTTTGTGAAGGAGAAGGAGATGGACCTAGGAGAATCAAGAGGACATACAGGCCCCGTTCCATTCAGAGGTCATGGTTTGGGCAGTTCCCATGGTTGGTAGTTGACCCCAAAGAGACCAAGCTCTTCTGCTCAGCCTGCAAAGAAAGACCTAATCTCCACGACAAATCATCTCGGTTAGTTAGAGGTTACACGGGGCCTTTTAAAGTGGAGACTTTAAAATATCATGAAGTCAGCAAAGCGCACAGGCTCTGTGTCAACACGGTTGAAATCAAGGAAGATGCCCCTCAGACTGCCCTCATTCCGGAGATCTCCAGTGACCTCATGGCCAACATGGAGCATTTTTTCAATGCCGCCTACTCCATCGCATACCACTCAAGGCCCCTGAATGACTTTGAGAAGATCCTAAAGCTTCTCCAGAGCACTGGGACCATGATACTGGGCAAGTACCGCAATCGCACAGCGTGCACTCAGTTCATCAAGTACATCTCCGAGACGCTGAAGAGGGAGATCCTGGAGGACGTGCGCAAGTCTCCCTGCGTGAGCGTGCTGCTGGACAGCTCCACCGACGCCTCTGAGCAGGCCTGCGTGGGGATTTATATCCGCTACTTTAAGCAGATGGAGGTGAAGGAGTCCTACATCACTCTGGCCCCTCTCTACACTGAGACAGCAGATGGGTACTTCGAGACCATCGTTTCCGCCCTGGATGAGCTGGACATCCCCTTCCGGAAGCCTGGCTGGGTGGTGGGGCTGGGGACGGATGGCTCAGCCATGTTGAGCTGCAGAGGAGGCCTTGTGGAGAAGTTCCAGGAGGTCATCCCGCAGCTGCTGCCTGTCCACTGTGTGGCCCACCAGCTGCACCTGGCCGTGGTGGATGCCTGTGGGAGCATCGATCTGGTGAGGAAGTGCGACCGGCACATCCGCACCGTCTTCAAGTTTTATCAGTCCTCAAACAAGAGGCTGAACGAGCTGCAGGAAGGTGCAGCAGCTCTGGAGCAGGAGATCCTCCGCCTGAAGGACCTGAATGCCGTGCGGTGGGTGGCCAGCAGGAGGCGCACGCTGCACGCCCTGCTCGCCAGCTGGCCCGCGCTGGCCAGGCACCTCCAGAGCGTGGCGGAGGCTGGGGGCCAGATTGGGCACCGGGCCAAGGGGATGCTAAAGCTCATGCGTGGTTTCCACTTCGTCAAGTTCTGCCACTTCCTGCTGGACTTCCTGAGCATCTACAGGCCTCTGTCTGAGGTGTGCCAGAGGGAGATTGTGCTGATTACAGAGGTGAACGCCACGCTGGGCCAGGCCTATGTGGCCCTGGAGAGCCTCCGTCACCAGGCGGGGCCCAAAGAGGAAGAATTCAACACCAGCTTCAAGGATGGGCGGCTCCATGGCATCTGCTTGGACAGACTGGAGGTAGCGGAACAGCGGTTCCAGGCGGACAGGGAGAAGACGGTCCTGACGGGAATCGAGTACCTCCAGCAGAGGTTCAGTGCAGATCGACCGCCACAGCTCAAGAACATGGAGGTGTTTGACACCATGGCCTGGCCGAGCGGGATCGAACTTGCCGGTTTTGGGAATGATGACATCCTCACCCTGGCCAGGTATTTCGAGCGCTCCCTCCCAGCAGGATACAGTGAGGAGGCTCTGCTGGAGGAGTGGCTGGGTCTGAAAGCCATCACCCAGCACCTCCCGTTCTCCATGCTCTGCAAAAACGCCCTGGCCCAGCACTACCGCTTCCCCCTGCTGAGCAAGCTCATGGCCGTGGTGGTCTGTGTGCCCGTCTCCACCTCCTGCTGTGAGCGGGGGTTCAAGGCCATGAACCGGATCAGGACTGATGAGAGGACCAAGCTCTCCAACGAGGTGCTCAACATGCTCATGATGACGGCTGTGAACGGCGTGGCTGTCACAGAGTACAACCCCCAGCCCGCCATCCAGCACTGGTACCTGACCTCCTCAGGCCGGCGTTTCAGCCACGTCTATGCCTGCACCCAGGTGCCAGCCCACTCCCCTGCAAGTAAGTAGCCGGGCTCCCCCAAGTCAGGGAATCTTGCCCTCCAGCCCCATGCTGAGCCACAGGCCAACAAGACAGGACTGCAGGTCCCTGTGGAGCTTCTGCCACGAGCCCACCCATTTGCTAAGCCAGTGGGTACTAGACGCATGACGCCCACCCTCCAGGAGTTTGCGCCCCTGCCAGGGAGACAACACACATGTGCTCTAGGTAGCAGGGCTTAGTGCGGAGAGCGTGCATTTCCGGAGCCTGTCTGCCCCGGTGACTGCTGTGCTGGCTCTGTCCCCACCTCGCTGTGTGGCATTAGTCAAATCTGTCTCTTTGTGCCTTAGTTTCTCATCTGCCGAGTGAGTTGTACCTGGAAAGCACTCAGGACAGTGCCTGGCAGGTGGTGCAGATGGTACTAGTTAAAGGTCAAGACCACTGTGGGAATAGGAGAGGGTGACCAGCCCCAGGCAGCGCCATCACATTCCAAGTGGGCTGTGTAGACTCGGCTGTGCGGGACTCTAAAGAGGGACGAGGTCAGCCTGGCTGTGGAGGAGCTGAGATGCAGAGGAGATGGTAAGGCTTTCAGGCAGGAATTGCACAGGGCAGGGGAGAGCAGAAACAGCCTCGCTGGAGCGGGGGGCTTGGGCCAGGGACTTGCTTGAGGGGGAAGCTGTATTAGAAGGGAGGGCAAGTTTTACTGAAAGCCATAGACAGGAAATTTTCTCTCTTCAAGTTGTCTTTTGAAAACCAAAGATGGAACACATTCTTTTTTTGCAGTGGGGAAAATAATAATAATAATAATAATAAGGAAAACCAAAGCAAAGATGCAAGCTGTTGGGGTTCTGTAGACCACTGGCAGCCACTTGACAAGGACGGGGCAGTGTTCCCTCTCCTGGCGTCTCTAGATGGTCTCCTTCCAGCTGGGGCTGCTCCAGCTTTCACCTCTGAGTCTGTGGCCATCAGAAATGGGACTGGGTCTCAGGGTTGACAGGGGCTCTCTGTAGGAAGCAGGGTGGCCCTGGAGCCACAGCAGGGCAGGTGGGGAGGAGAAGAGACCCCTCACTGATAAGAGACAGGGAGAGCCAAGAGAGAGGGCTGGGCGAGCCCATCACCCAGGCGTTTGTTGAGGAAGTTGCTCAGTGTCCAGCCCTGTGGGTGTGAAGGAGAAAGACAGGATGACAGGTGTGCACTCGTGCGCGTTACTCTTTCCACAGGGACAATGGGACCAGCACAGATCGGTCCAAACACTACCCGACTGCACGCTGAGGCCTCCTTCCAGGCAGGGCTCTCAGCCTTGGCACTGCTGCCACTGGGGCTGGGGGATTCTCGGCTGGGGCCCCTCCCGTTCACTGTGGGAACTTGAGCAGCATCCCTGGCCTCTACCTATTAGATACCCACTTAGCATACCCCTGACTTGTGACAAAGAAAATCATCTCCAGACATTGCCAGATGGCCCCTGGGGGACAAAATGGCCCCCAGCTGAGACCCCTTGTCTTAGGAGGAAAGAATGAGCAGAGCAGGCACAGAAGGGAGCTGCAGTGAGCAGTCGCGGTCCTGTCTCCAGTCTGTTCTGCCAAGCCTTCTTCACCAGACAGTCCCTGGGTGAAGTTGAATGTGGAAGGCGGTCTCTGTAGGTCGGTCTAATTGCCTTCTCCTTCCTCTGTCACAGGCGCCAGGCTCAGGAAGGGGGAGATGGGAGCCCTGTATGTGGAGGGGTCCGGGACCCAGAAGCCACCCACCCTGCCCTCCAGGGAAGCAGTGGAGGTACTGAAGGACTGCATTATGGTGCCTCCCGAGAGCCTCCTGTACCCCAACAGCAGCCGGGAGGCCCCCGGCCTGTCCTGAGGGACAGGGAGTCCTTGGTCACAGGGACGGTTCTGCAGGACCTAGACTGCCCTCGGCTCTCCCACTGGCGGGGATGCTCTCTGAGCAGCAGGAAGTGGGCAGTGGCGTCTGGAGCGATGTGGGCATTAGGAGGTGCATGACCTGTTTCCTGAGGCCCGGCTCAGCACAGCCAAGCCTCATGCAAGTGTGCCAGAAGGTTCTTACCGCAAGTTCATTTTTAAGGTGCTCCAGAAAATAACCCAAAATAACCCCATCATGAAAGGTTTCAACCCCTATTGTGGTGGCGAGAGGACTGTTGTGATGGGGAGACTGTTGGACGTCCCTGGGGAATGTTCCAGGGAGGCTGCCCACAGCCTAAGTGGGAGGAGGGAAAGGCCAGTCTGTTAGAGGTGGAGGCTGAGCCTTCTCTAGGGACAGCTGGCCTGGCTGCAAGCACCCCCAGAGACTTAGTTCTTCGACTTCCCACCCTGGCTCCCACAGCAGAAGCAGTGAGGCCTTGATTTGGCGGGGAACTCTACCTCTTCCCAGGGCTTCCTTCAGGACAAAACAATCACAAGCCCTTTGCACACAACGCCCAAGAAAGGTTCTCTTCCTGCAGCTCCAGATGGTGGAGCTGGGGCTCTCCTGGCAGGGGGCCCGGCGCTTCCCGTATTGCTGAGCCCCATCTGACCTGAAGCATGCCTGGCTGGGTTTCCTCATGAGAGGATGGGTCCAAGTTGGAGTGGGGAGGCTTGCGATGCAGCCCCAGCTCTGCTGAGGCAGTGGTCTGATTAATCCCTTCCTCTTTTCTGTGCCTCAGTTTCCCTCCCCATGAAGTGGCAGCAGAGAATCCAAGTGCCTGCTGACTCCCCATCTGCCCTAGGATTAGTGAGTGAGAGCCTCGAGCCCCCTGAAAGACCTCTGGCTGCAGTGTGGACTTAGCTGCCTTCCACCCTGGCCTCGTCCTTAGTGGGACAGGTAGGAATTTGTCTCCAAAGCCCTTGTAGGAGTTGCTCTCCGAATGCATCGTCTGCACGACAGGCTAGTCTACTCTTCTCCAAGTTGCCCTGGGGACTCTGCATCAGGATTGCCAGGGCCCATTAAGGCATCCCTGGATGGGAGTTCAGGGACGGGGGCTTTGAACAACCTCCTCCAGGAACTGTGGGCCTGCTCCAGCTTCAGAACCGCAGAACCACTGCCCTAGAAGGACAGAGGGGCTCCTGGCACTGCAAGGTTCACACCTTCCTCACCTTGTTTTAAATAGGCAGGAAGTAGGTGCCATCCATCCCAGCTTGCTCGTTGCCTGGCTCAGGCAGGTCCTGTGCTGTGCTGCAGGCCCCTGTGGGTGGGGACTTCTCTGTAGTCTGCTGCTTCCCATTTCCAGGGTGGATGCTGGTGTCCAGGTACCTGAGTACCTTTTCCATTCCCAGGGTAGATGCTGGCATCTAAGTACCTGAGTACCTTTTCCATTCCCAGGGTAGATTCTGGCATCTAAGTACCCGAGTACCTTTTCCATTCCCAGGGTCGGTGCTGGCATCCAAGTACCCGAGTACCCTTCCCATTCCCGGGGTAGATGCTGGCGTCCAAGCACCTCCCCAGTGCCACGGGCGCCCTAGTACCCAACATGCCCTTCCATCCCCACCCCAGCACTCAGCCCTAGCTCTGTTGCTTTCCTGTTGTTTTTGGCGCTAGTCAGTCATTCCTTTCTTGCTTTCTGTCTTTGACCTGTGGCAACATCTCCCAGCCCTTTTGGGTCTGGCGGTCAGAGGGGACCCCACAGGCCTGTGGTGCAGGAGCTCTGGGTGGTGTTACTATCTGTGTGGCCAAGACGTCCACGCCTTCCTCTCCCCAGTGCCGTCTCCATGGGGATTCAGGAGCTTGCCCAGGTCAGGCACTGTGGATGTGAATTGGTGGAACGGGAGGGAGAAAGGCCTTTTTAGCTAGGGATGGAGCCTCCGCCCTACGCACGGGGATTCCACACCAAGGTGCTGTTCCAGCACACATGCTTCCCATGGCCTCTTCATCCTTGAAGAATCCCGCAGAGCACGAGGCCATCCTGTGAGCAGCCGTGGGTGTGTCTCTGTGGGAGTAGTTCTGGAGCGGAGGTGGAAGCCAGGGGAGCACTACCCTCTCCACGTCAGCATCCATGTGCTCCGAGGGCACCGTCCAATCCCTGCCTTAGGTGGTGGGAAAGTGGGTCCCCTTACAGCGGGACCACTGAGAACGCTGTTTGTCATAGAGTTTGCACTGCCCAATTTCTCCAGGGGCGTGGGCCTGCGTCATTCCCCTTTGTCAGCTAATGGCAAAGAAGGAAGAAAGTGACTGCCGTCTCAATCCTGAATTTCCCCGTTCAGGACCCCCATGGAAACACAGTGAGCGTCCTTACCAGACGCCCCTGGCCCTGGCCGGCCCCTTTGCATGGTTTGAAGGCTGCCTGGAGATCTCCGTGTTGGAGAGGCTTCCTGTTTATGCCTCACAAGGGCTCTAGGGGTAGAGGGAGCACACACTCTGGCATTGGCTAGAGTCCCAGTGCCGTCGCCCCTCTCCTCCATCCCTGTGGTCTTGACAGCATCCTTATGTATATGTCCTGGCATTTCCCCTCTCTCTCCCTGATGACTGGTGCCTGCTGGGTCTGACATTCCAAGTAACCAGCATGTAACTGGTAGTTTGATCCCGCTAGCCATAGCGACTCCAAGTGGGAGTGAGGTAGCCCCCTATCCTGGAAGATACCTTAGAATGTGTGACCTCGCTCCAGACCTTTGCTTCTCTCTCCTGCAGAAGGTGAGTTTCTAGGGTGCTAAGTACCTACCAGGACAGCATGGAGGGGCAGCTCCCTCATACAGTTGTCTGCTTAGCCAGGTGCACTAAGTGTGACTGGCCCGGGGATGTTCTCTCCTCTGTTTTCAAAGATGAAAGGGGTTTTAAAAACCATGTGTGATTCCTAACGTTTTGCTACCTGAATAAAGCAGAGTCTATTTCAACACATCTTTGTCCTGTGTGTCCCTAAGCAAGGAGCAGGAGCTTAGAGAAGCTAACGGAACGAGATCTGCCCTTGCTCGAGAGGGGACAGGGCCAGTAGAGGTGCCCAGGGGAAGTGCCTGTGTGCTCACCTTATTTTTGTCTTTTGATTTCTTTTCTCTCTAATCCTTGAAAGTGAGCTCAATCGTTTTTGCCAGTTAGAAGGTAGAGATGAGAGTGGGCCATTCGTGCCTTTTCTGGAGCACGGCAGTTTACAAAGTGCTTTTACGTTCATGATCTCATTTGGTTTACTGAAATTAAAAAGCTAGACTTTCAAGGAAAAAACATCGATTTCCACTGGTGGTGAAAGCTGCTGCATCAGACCTGTTAGTCAACAGCACTCCTTAAGGCCAGGCTCCTGAGAGCCTTCCCGCCAGCCCTTGCAGCTCCACAGCCTCGGGGTGGCATGTTCCAGTGGTATTGCAGCAAAGGTTTGCAGAGACTTGGGATACCACCAGATCTCTTTGGTAAGGAGACTCAGCCTTACTTGAGCATACAAGATTTTTTAAAAAGGCATTGAAACAACTATCGAAGCAGAGGCACAGACAGCAGGGCTTTAGGTTTGGGACTGGGAGTTAGTGCGGCCTCCATGCGGTGAAGACCTGACCCTGTGGTGGGGGTGAACAGGGTCTCCTTCATCCTCTCCTGGGTTCCCTTCAAGACAGATGGATTTCACTAGGGAAGCATGATGCCGGTAGCCCCCATCTCAGGCTAGGCAGGGTAGGTTCCCAGGGAGGCAGCTCTCAGCACAGCCTCTTCCATCACTGCAGCTGGATATAGAAGGAGGGGAGCCATCTGAGACCCTGAAAGGTGTTGCACTCCTGCCTGTCTTTTTCCCAAGAGTGCTCCTGACATCCAGAGTGCAGTCAGCAGGCCTTTCTAACTGAGCTGGCTGCCTCAGATGCCTCAGCCCCATTGCTGGGGATGCTTCAGTGGGGCCTCCTCACTGTGGGCCTTCTTTTGGGTCAGTATGATCTTTGTGTCCCTTTCCCATGCCAGCAACACTTGTAGGCTTCACCTGGCTGGCCCTGGCTCCCAGTGCTCTTGAGATGCTGCCTCTGACTGCAGCTCCTGCCACACTCACAGCACATGGCTGCCGCTCCCCTCTACCCCTGGGAATGGCTGCCCAGAGATTCCTGTTTTGAACCTTTTGCCACGCTCAGGACAGCCACCAAGGGCACTGGCACTCGTGACAACAGAAGAGCCCTGCAGTGCTATGGCTCCTCCAACGGGCCAGGAAAAGCTGTGGGGCTCAGACACACGGAGCACACTCCAGACAGGCACAGGGCCTCTGGGTCGTGACGGTTTGCCAGTGTTTCGTGGTCCTGGGCCATGCACAGGCTTCTTGGCAGCCAGGAGAGGCTGTCTCTACATTTGATGTGCACACCTGAAAGAGCAGTCCTCACCCACAGGGCAGTGTCCTCCCACACCCCCAGGAGGGCCTTCCTGTGCCATCTGAGCTACACTTAATGGAAAGCCTTTGCTACACCAGGACACTTTCAGGGCTACACCCCCACGTGACTGTGCTCACTGGCGGCCAGGGCTATATGGCTCTTGAAGCTCTTCGCACACTTGGCACAGATCAATGGCTTTTCCAGTGGAATCTAAAGGACTCAGGCATTCTCAGAGGCCATTCTGGCCTTGGAGTTTTTCAGCTTCTGGAATTAGTGTGTGACCACTCTAATTGAGCCTGTGACCCAGTTGCCTCTAGAATCATATTCGGTCTCGTTTCTGACTTTGTTACCAAATTCTATTAAAGAAAACTCAGACATTAGCCTAGTGATGGGGACACACTCCTTTTGTTCAGTGTGGCCTGCTCAGACCCCAGTCCCCAGCCCCAGTGAGATTACTGCTAAGGGCATTGTTCTGTGGATGCCACACCCAGGGTGTGGGTCAGCATCCCAGCTCAGAGGAGCAGCCCAGTTGGTCTGAGAACACTGAAGTCCTAGAGCACTGGGGAGGGACTCCTGACCAGCGCTCTTCCCACTCTCGTTCCAACACACGCGCAGGGAATGTCCTGGCCCAGGGAGCCAGGGCTCTCTTCCTGCCACTTTAATAATTCCCTGCAGCAGCCACTGCTAGACAGCAAGCCGGGGAAGCCTTCTTATGCAGAAATCAAAATTATGTTTATAAAAGTGTCACAGAGTCCCTTATGAAGAGAGCTGGACAGAGGAGGAGCCGACCGTTTCCTGACTGCCCAGTTCAGTGTGCCTCATTAAATATGTGCCGTCAGCAGTCTGCCATGAGGTGCAGTAAGAACCTTCTGCTTCATCCTTCCAAGCTGGGCTGTATCATAAAATCCATACTTTATTTTCCTTCTGCGTAGAGAATCAGAAAGGAAACGAAGGAGATTTCAGAAAAGGGCTTGTGAGATGGAGCATGTCAGAGCCGAAGATCTGTGGCTGTGAGACATGCCCTCCTGAAGGAGCCACGCCTGATTGCCCTCACCTGACTGTCCCCTCAGTGTAGCTTGTCTCAAGAGGTTTACAGTATGGCCGTGTTTCTCATAGGTTACCCAAAGTCCTGTCACAAAGGCGGCAACAAAGAGAAGTACAGAACCTGAATCCAAGCCGGGCGCGGTGGCTCACGCCTGTAATCCCAGCACTTTGGGAGTCCGAGGTGGGTGGATCACGAGGTCGAGAGATCAAGACCATCCTGGTCAACATGGTGAAACCCCGTCTCTACTAAAAATACAAAAAAATTAGCTGGGCATGGTGGCGTGTGCCTGTAATCCCAGCTACTCAGGAGGCTGAGGCAGGAGAATTGCCTGAACCCAGGAGGCGGAGGTTGCGGTGAGCCGAGATCGCGCCATTGCACTCCAGCCTGGGTAACAAGAGCGAAACACCATCTCAAAAAAAAAAAAAAAAAGAACCTGAATCCAAACCACGTAAGTGCTGTGGTTGATCAGATACTGATTCATGGGTTGATCGGAGACCAGCAGGCACTAAAGGCTCAATGAACATGGTGATCTTTGTGCAAGAGGTGCTCCATCAAGACTTACCTGGCTCAGTGGTAGCTTTTGGCTTCTGTTGGAGGCTGGGATCCTTCACCCAAAGCTCGTGTTCCCTTTCAAGTCTACAGGTGATCTCTGGTTTGGCAGCAGCACGCAGCAGAAGGAGAAAGAGGCGACCACCCCTTAACCCACATTGAGTGCACGTAGACCTGCATCAGTCCTGAAGCCTGACTTGTACCACTCATGTAATGCTCTGGGCTCACCCCACCAATTTAGGACAGGGGGGGTAAGTTGTAAACCTGAGAGCTCTGAAACAGGCAGGTCCTGGCATACAAGCAGGAATGTTTATTTCAGAGCAACTTCAGGAGTGCCAAGGGCTGATAAAACAGTGCAATTGTCATGATGCATTTTCCCATGGCCAGGGGCTCTTGAAGGAAAAGCAGGCTCAACCAGTGATAAGACAACCGTGCTCTGGGTCTACCTGACCCCACAGGCCAGGGACACCCCTATTAGATGGCAAACGAGCAACGGGCCAACATCCTCAACCAGGGAGGCTCCCAGCTCCTAATTCCTTCTTATCACATCCTGATACAGTTCCTTCTGCTCCTTAGGGTCACCAGAACAATGGGTGGGAGGTAGGTGGTCACACCCTTCAGTGTCATAGGCCTTACTTGCAAACACAGAGACATCCGGAGCTGTTGTCCTCACTCCGACACAGGCCCTGTCTGCAGAGAGTATTGGGATAGTCTGTGACTCTGAAGTGTGATTTCCTAGAGCAGGCGTCCCCAAACTTTTTACACAGGGGACCAGTTCACTGTCCCTCAGACCATTGGAGGGCCGCCACATACTGTGCTCCTCTCACTGACCACCAATGAAAGAGGTTCCCCTTCCTTAAGTGCGGCGGGGGGCCGGATAAACGGCCTCAGGGGGCCGCATGCGGCCCACAGGCCGGGCCGTAGTTTGGGAACCCCTGTCCTAGAGCCTCAAGTGTGCCGGGGCTGTTGTTCATTCGCGCTGGGGGAAGATTCAGGGAAGTTTTAAAGAGCCTCTTCGAGTGGCTCCTTCTGCTTCTACCCTTTCTAGGAATTCATCAGTCCCAAATTTATGAAAAGATGAATAATAGAGATGTCAGCAACGTCAGGACCTCGCTCCCTGAGAGATGTCTTGGAAACTTGTCAATCACACCCCGAAGCACTCACCAAGGAGCTGGCACTGCAGTCAGTGGTGCCAATACCAACCAGAAGCCACCAGGGCAGAGGGGAACCATGAAGCCAGTGGAATGCACAGCACCACATCAGCAGCCCGGTGTAGGCAGGGCCTTTTGCCTCATGATATTGCCTCTGAAAATATCGTCCTCAGCCTGGGCACAAGCTCTAGGGATGAGCTGGGGTGTGGAGGAGTCACTGAATTAGGAAGGAGAAGCCTCGGCCTTATGTTCTGATTCTTTAACCCATGAGCTATGTGGGTCTAGGCAAGTTACTTCACTTCTCTGGGTCTCAGTTTTATCACCTGTAAAGTAAGCAGATTGCCTTAGAATGCCTCTAAGATCCCTTTCAGCTAAAAGCAAAGTTGTATGGAAGTAAGTGAGGCCAGACGCAGTGGCGCACGCCTGTCTGTAATCCCAGCACTTTGGGAGGCCATGGCGGGCAGATCCCCTGATGTCGGAGTTCACTGGCCAACACAGTGAAACCCCATCTCTACTAAAAATACAAAAATTAGCCGGGCGTGGTGGCACGCACCTGTAATCCCAGCTACTGGGGAGGTTGAGGCAGGAGAATCACTTGAACCCAGGAGGTGGAGGTTGCAGTGAGCTGAGATCATTGCACTCCAGCCTGGGCGACAAGAGCAAAACTCCATCTAAAAAAAAAAAAGAAGAATAAGAAGAAAATAAACAGGTGTTACTGTGGAACTCTATTTTGGGGAGCTGCTTGATCAGGTGAACAGTTTGCACCTGGAAATGGGGTTCCAGCCCTGAGCTGCTCACATCTTCCAGTCATGCTGCAGGGAACAGCCA